CTCTCTCTCTCTCTCTCTCTCTCTCTCTCTCTCTCTCTCTCTCTCTTCCTCCTCGTCTCAGCTATCAAAAGTACATAAAATACAATTATGTTGAGTGGGTCTTGTTGCTGCTAGGCGTATATTTGAAGATAACTACAATTTACTTATCATTTCTTCGATTCAATTTTGGATTTAGTGTTTTGTCGTCGGTGTCTTGTCTTCTCATCGTCTCATTGGGTGGAAATAAATTTGATGAAAAAGAAAAATCTCGCGTGCACAGCAGCATATGTCACTTGAGTTATTCTCTCTTTCTATCGCGATCTCAGGCTGTACACTTTGCCTTGTGACAAAACAGAGCAGAGAGAGAGAGGGAGAACAAAAACGCGATAGGCAAACACATGCGACATACAAACAAACTAACGAATGAGAGAGAGAGAGAGTGAGAGAAGCCCAAAAGACAATTTAATATGTATGAAAAGAAGTACATGCAAAGACATTGTCGGTATTTAGTGATTGTCGTCGGATGGATCCATTGTTGCCGTTCTTGTCTCTATCGCCCATATCGCGCTGTATCGCGCTCTCTACGAGCTGTAAACCTCTCAAGCTCTATTGTGTGTTGTTTTTCTATCGCTGCTCAATTCTATTTATATGCGCATATATAAAATATCATCATGGAAATGCGAGAGAGGGAGAGAGCGAGAAAAAAAATACAGCCGCTGTTTTAAAAGTGTTTGTTTTTAATTACTGAAAAATGCGCGAACGAACGAACCTGAGAGACGGGGTAGAGATGGTGCAACGACAGAAAAAAAAACCGCGTCTCCGATTTTCAAGTCCATCGTTGAGCGCGCGCGGTGCGAGAACAAGAGAGCAAACGAGACATTTTGAGTCGAAAAACTCGTAAAAATTCATGATTCAAAAAATGGAAAAATTCACTGCCTCAATATTCGGTTCTCTCTCTCCCTCTCGCATTTGGATCATATGAAAATCGGTTTGATGCATTTAGCGATTCGATGCTGTTGTCGTCGTCGTTTCGTTGTTTTCGTTCCGATAAAGTCTGCCACTTGCATCGCACAGTCAATTAGTGCAGAGAAGCGTAAATTCTAGCTTTTGCAGCGGACGAACAAGAAAAAAATTGTGCAGCTCTCCATATAGAGAGATTTTAATGTCATCTTAATTTGGCTTAGTTTTTTTTTGTTCTTTTTCTCTCTCATACTCACACCAGTTTATCGACACGATTTTAATTCGCAACGTTTTTTTTTTAAAGTTATTGTTGTTGTTATTGTTTGAGCTCTATTAAATTTTCCGAGAATCAAGCTTCAGCAAATTTTTCACGACTTTTGCGTTAGTTAGATTTTGTTTCCATTTCTCCGAAGCAGCGAAAAAAAAACAAGTTGCCATTGGATAATTTAGAAAAGTGGACGAATGATACCGGGTCGACCGGTAAAGTTGATGGTAGTCGATGGCAATAGGTATCAGTTAAACAGTGATCGATATACTAGTATATCTATATCGTGAGATGGTAACCACAAAATGGGAAGCAATTAATTGTTGTCAACGCCGTTGTCGGCGTTTATTCACTGGATAGAGATAGATGGTTTCTTGCATGCATGCGCTTCATAATTTATCGGAATTTTCATGGATTGGTTGAGACGTCGTCGGTTGGCTTCGGCTTTTATCTCTCTCTCTCTCTCTCTCTCTCTCTCTCTCTCTTTTACTCACTCACTCCCTTTCTCACCGTATCAGATTCTTCTTTCTCTTTTTTCGTCCCACAGTCCGGTGTTCATGTTTTAGCTGTTGCTCATGTCAAGTGGATAATCCGAAATCACGGTCAATTGGAGTTGAGTGTGTTATAAAAATTGACGCGTTCGTTTGTCTATGTCGCATGGGCTCGATGCTATTGATCGATGGAGGTAGACACAGGGATCATCACACTCGGCTATATATGTTTTGTGCATATTATTACTCATTTTATTTGCTTCTATCTCTTTGGCTCTCTGTCGTTGTCTCTTGTTGTCAATCACTCTGTCTCCTTCTCTCTCACTCTACTCTCACAATTCGAAGTAGGCAAACCGTCAGAAGTAGTACGGCAAAATAACAAATTGCCAGTTGAAATTAATCTTAGACAGCTAAATTGGTAGTGAATGCGCTTGGCAAATGAGTGGGCAAAGATTCGAATTCCATGATGGAAATATTTTTTTATTCTTAATGTGTTCATTTTTTTTCTGATGGCGAGAATGCGAGAATGTGATTTATTTCAACTGGCGCTGTTGTACCCTTTGAATGTGGCAATTCCGTGCACACACTTCGTTTGTTTGCGTTCATTGTGTGTGATCACGTTGGTGTGCAGAAACACGATTGTGCATGAAACATTCAGTGTGATGACAACCGATTGTCAAAAAATGAAAACAAAATCAGAAATCTTTGCAAATCGTTTTGTGTAATAGCCGAAGGAGGTTAAACAAAAAATTCAATCAGCCTTTTTCGTGTTGCAAAGATGATTCGAGATGATTGTTGTTAAGAATTCAATGTTTTGTGCCATTTGGAATTTAGATTCAATTCACTGTTTACTGCTGAAACACATTTGATGAAAATTTGATAAAAACAATCAAAAAGATTTATTTCTCAATAATTATACTTGTTTGGTGTGTTTTATCACTCTTTAAATGCCCTGTTAGCGGCTTTTTTCCACTGAATTCAAATTTACCTATCAAATAAAAACATTGGTGGTAATTCAACATTTTACCTCCAATGAAAAAATTACTTCGGCAATTTGTTATTTTGCCTTACTACTTCTGACGGTTTGCCTACTTCGAATTGTGAGAGTATCTATCTATTTATCTCTCTCCTCTTCTCTCTCTCTCTCTCTCTCTCTCTCTCTCTCTCTCTCTCTCTCTCTCTCTCTAACTCACACGCATCGCGTCCACCATCGGCCAATTTGATGATGAATGATATTTTATGCACAGAAATTACATTCACTTACACTTCATTACTTCAGCACGCTTTAATTGAAAACTGATTACACACATTCGCACGCACTCATACAACATATCAACTCAAAATCTCTGAACAAGCAGCACCAACAACAACAATCATCAAAAAATCGACGGCAATTATTTTGGATCTGTTGTTGGTGTAAGAATGTATGTTGTTTCAATAAAATTTGTGTGTAGTGCGAGAGCAGGAGCTTACACATGCGATATCAGAAAAAAGAAGAAGAAGAAGCAGTTGGGAAAAAATTTCAATGCCATATCTCTAACTACTATACTTGGTCAAATATTTGGATCGACTCCATGGGTGCACACAAAATTCGACGAGGACGATGTCATATATGAAATTTTTATTTATACATTGTTTGCTATTGCTATTGCTGCTGCTGCTGCTATATTTCGACGTGTCTATGTTCGTGCGAGAGTATAATAATTGAGTTGTAAAATCGACGACACACAAACACACATCAATCGATGAAGTAAATCACGAATACAACGACGGCAACGACAAAAATTCCGCACAAGAAAGAAAAAATTGTACAGAACAACAAAAAAACGGGAAAAACGGCACCGAAAAAGGAACCACACATTTGCCGTGTTTTCTTCTAACACAAATGCACTGACTCAAAATCCAGCTCGAATATAACACACACGCACACTGGATTCTCGCGGTATTCTTTTTTTTTTTCGTTCGTTTCGTTTGCAAATATATATAAATGAATTGTAGGGAAAAACAGGAAATCAGAATAAATGAAATTCAACACAAACCATTCGCGCACGATGACGACCGTAATGATGATGATGATCAAATTAAGAAAACTGACGAATGGACGAGCGAGCGCAAAAAAAAATCGCACAACACGTATTTTATGTGATAGAATACGAAAAAAAAAAACTACGCGAGATGTGATCAGCCAAAGTGCCAAGGGAATGCCACAAAGCACACCGAAATAATAACACACCGAAAAATTGCACACGAGAAATGAAAAAAATAATAACGCATACACGAAGAAAATACACAATGAAACAGAAGAATGAAAAAAAAAAATGGATTGTTGATGTGATTACACACAAAACAACAAAATCACACATAGAACTGGACCCGACACCAATCGAAACCGAAACACTTCGAACGAAGAAAGAAAAATTATACGATTTTTTCAAATTATTTAATGCTGCGCGTATTAATGGAATTAATTAAAAAAAAACGACGACAACCAAAAAAATACACGCAAAAAAAAACAAATCAAATATAACTGAGCGAAAGAAAATCAAATAAATAAATAAGATGCACACAAGACACACAGAATTTGGTTGTGTTGTTGTTGATTTGTTGTGTTTTTTTTTTATTTCTCTTCTAAACTAATTATATTCATATAAACTAGATTCACGTTTAACTGGTTTTCAGCATGTCGTTTTTTAATATTTCGTTTAATTTTTTTTTGTGTTTTGCTGCTGCTCTTCTCTTGTATCTTTCTTCTTCGGTCGCACTCTCTCTCTGTGGCCCGCAACAACCGATTGTGTATGTGTGTCTGATTTTTCCGTTTTCAGCGCTATTTTATCGTTTTGACTTTGGTTCGGCTCGTTCGTTCGTTCGTTCGTTCTTCTTCTTCTTCTTCTTCTTCTTCTTCTTTTTCTCTCTTTGTGTGTTGTATGTTTTTCTTCTTCGTTTTGTTCGTACTATTATTGCTATGCTCTGTATTCAACCACTCTACGTGAATGCTTTTTTAGTTGTCGTAGTCTTTGTTTCTGCGGTCTTTTTTCTATCGCTATGTCTTCTTCTCTCGCTCTGGCACGCGCCGCACTCCCGTATTCGATTGCGTTTTCAGCAGTATTTTCAATGGATATTTTCGTTTAATTCAACATTTTTTTTTGTTCGGTTATACGCGCGTACACACCAATATATCGGGCTACCCGATGGATGATGTAGCTTTCTCGTTGCCCGCTTCTTCTTCGTTTTCGATTCGGTTGTATGTTGGTGCCGAGTATTTGTAAAATCGTGTCCAAACACGAACTAAACGCTCGAATCAATGGCACACACAAAGCCAAACTGATAGCGAATGAGCGAGTGAGCGAGCGAAAGAGAGATAGAGCGCACAACCAACATACACCAAAATACTATTTTCTACCTTGGTCTAGGATAGTATAGTGTTCACATATATGTATAAGTATATATATACCTCTTTCCCTGGAACATATACACACGTTCCAGCTTTTTTGCACAGACACACACCATAAATACCGCGCGCACAAAACCGAATTTTACGAATGTTCCGTACTACGTGAACCGATTGCATTCATGGAATGCAACACACACGCACAATCGCATCGACTCAACGTTATAGCTGTGCTCACGATTTTTTTTTATCAAGATATCGTAATAAACTAAAAATATCGTTCGATATCGTTATTATGATGGAATCTTAATAACGCTATCAACTTTTTATCAGGATATTAACTATATTCAAATAATAACGTTATCGGATGAATCTTAATAATATCGTT